GGCAACATGGCTAATCAAGAAGATGATGTACAACCTAACACAGGTTTCATTTGTTCATTTGGTAGAAGTCGTTGTATGTGTCCCATTAACTCATTACAAAAATGGTGTCACCTGGGTTACAGGAATTGGACAGTGTTTCTTAAAAAAGGTAACCCAGCTTTTTTTATCAGAAAAAAACAGTAAAAATAGATGTTTTACCTTTACAAAATCAGTTGTAAACTGATGAGATAAAAATTAATACCCCCACCGCAGCAAACCTGCACACTATGCGAATTTTCATTGCCTGAATGGATTTACTATAAAATATCTCCTTTAAAATATCACATTTATTCCCTATTTAAATAGTATTGGTTTGACGAGTACCGGTACTTTTACTACGGAATTTTCTCCGTAACCATTATAGGCGCCCAATAACGCTTCAAATATACTAAATGATTTGTTTTTATAAGCTGTACAAAATGGTTTGGAAATAGATTGCTAAATTTTATGTTTTTAGGGTAAACAATGTTTTTGGCCTCTAGGGACCTCAAAAAAAAAGTAAATTGGTCCTGGGTCCAGGTCTTACGATGAGTACTACGGTAATACCCCCCCCCCCTATATGGGAAATTCGCTAAAACGTGGTTTATTAAATAAAGAATAAAAGCCCATCAGATAAACAAACTTTTTTGTTTTTGTTAAACAAACAGATTGACGTCTCCAACTTACATTAACGTTCTTTATTTTAATACTATGTTTAGTTAATTACACAAACAGAGTATGCTTAGTTGTAGATGACTCAAACACGGATGCAAATCAAGCTTTACCCGAGGGGATCACAAGACAACACTGTTACGACAATAGCTGGCCGATATTTTTAAACCACATACTTAGTCTCTAGGTCACGGATGATATGCCAACTATAGGCCGTCAAATGATCCTGAAACTAACAAGCTGTTCAAGTGATCAAGTTTGTTTGACTGATATTTAAGTGATCACTAGAATCTTTATAGAACAACTGTCAATGAATATGATAAAGATTGTGTTATCAAGATACACTTTTGTACTTGAGGCTGGAGGTGTTTAAAGGGATTTAAAAGGGTCTCATTGTGAAGAAGCTCGATGAATTTGTTTTGTACTAGATTGCTAATTGATGTATGTATTTATTTTTTAAATTTGTAAATGACAGTTACCCTACTAATATACAGGGGGATGGCCCGCTAGATGTCTGAAGGAAATCCCAATATTAAGCATAGGTTTATATGACTATAAAATTAATGGTCTTAGTAAAATACAATGCTGCAACCCCAAACTCAAACAGACAACTGAGTAAAAAATTGTAGCCGTTCAAAGATTCCTTGAGTTAATTATGCAATATTACACGCTACCTCCTCAGGGAGGCGCTCACTAGAAGTTGAAGTTATCACGAAGTTGATGGTGTAAAAACCTATTCCATGAAATTCTACATGTATGTACCAAGTTTAGAGTCCAGCGATGTCTGAGTTTATCACTGCCAAATATATGTACAAACCAACATCCTCTTTTATACTTCTAGGTTTTGATTAAACTTGACAAATTTATTTATTTTATACTAAGCTATTAATATTTTACTAAGAAAACACACTTTATTACTAAAAAATTGGTGTAAATACCTGCATTTACGCGATCAATGTGTTGCTAAATTGCAACCGATTTCGACTCACATAGGAGTCATCGTCGGGTCAGTACAGATGTGTAACACATTGATCGCACAAATGCAGGTATTTACACCAATGCTTTAGTATTTAAATATGATCAGTAGGCTAAAATTCAATATAATGACACTTTAGTTTTCTTGTAGCAGCAAACCTAGCTACTCGTTAAACCTAATTTTATTTAAATAGATTTAATTGAAAATCAATTAAGACAAATGGAAATTCGCTTAGTCGGCAGGGGTATTTTCCATCACTAGGAATAAAATATCGGCCTTTCAACCTGCAAAATTGGCCTGTGGGGGTCCTTGATAAAAGCAGTTAACATCCCCATTCGCAGTGTACTAATTTAAAATCCATAAAAATGTAAGTCTTTCATTTTCAGTAGTTGATTCTATGTACCCTATAAAGTGGTACAGTATGTTACGTTATAAACAGTTAACTCATATTTAAACTTCAAATTTTATTTTTAAGACGTCCTAAGTTTATCCTTACTGTGCCACCAATAAAGAAACAAGCATTTGGCAATGACAGTGGCATTGTTGATGTAACCCTAGCATAGAACACTGAGGTTTATTAGTCACCATCGACACCATTGTTCGGAGGGCTAATTGAAGGAATGTTTCGACTGACTGCCTATAACCACGAGTATAGTTGCCGCTGTAGTCGTTAATCTAGTCACCAGTCGGTGGCGTCGGCCCAACTGGTCCGTGCGTGTTTGATGTCCAGACTCCTCGCACCTGCCACAGTCCTAAAATACTTCATTATCTTACGGGAACAAACAAAACAGCTGTTTTGGGGACATTTACAAATGATCCCACTTATAGCGTTCTTGTCACATCTTGAATGTTTCATTCTTTGCTGGTTTGAGAACATTTGAGAATTTTTTTATAGACTTTGTTTCTGTGTACATTAAAAAAATTAACAGCATTTTTATCTTGATTTGATATTGAATCATTGTTTTTTTCATGAGGCTATTTATTTCTATCATGGTCATTTGTTTATATTATGTTTTTTCTGTATCTAAAGTATTTATTATGGTCAGTCAATTTTTAGTTGTAAGTACTGTATCCACAGGCAACCAATCAATTGTAATCACATTTGACAAAGATCCTATCTATAACATTTTATAATGAATGAGCTAAAGAACAACTGTAACAATACTGTACATCTAGGACTACAATACAGAACTAAAAATTAATTGAGAATCTTTTTGGTGGCTTCTACAGATGTATTTCTAAATAGGTCAATAAGTTCAGGCCACATGAATTCAGGTGTAACAGACAAAGGGGGTTTGATAGTAAGTCCCTTTGGAAGTAGGCCTAGAGTAAGGCAGGTGTATTTCTAAATAGGTCAATAAGACTTACTATCAAACCCCCTTTGTCTGGTACACCTGAATTCATGTGGCCTGAACTTATTGACCTATTTAGAAATACATCTGTAGAAGCCACCAAAAAGATTCTCAATGAACTAAAAATTAAAACATTCTCGTATGAGAACAGTCCTACTACAGCTTCAAACTTAAATACCGATGTTATATAAACCAAGGCAACAAATAAAACCCACTTAAACAATTAGGATTAAGAATAGCAATCAACAGAAGTGGAACGGCCATTCACATACATAGATCGTTACCGTTATCTATAGCCAGGCCCAAGATTGGCAACGACAATCGGTCTTCAAGTGTCAGACACAGAGCCAACAATCACACTCAAATAGGCTCAGCTGTCTGAGTCATTCCAGTGCTACCTGCTAACAGCCTGCTCTACTCTTCGCATCATACAGGGTGATTCAAAAAGGACTTTACAACTTTGAAAATTCATATAAATCTTATTAAACAAGGTACAGAGCTGGTTTTGGTGTTGTTTTAAAGGAAAACACTTCAAGTTTTTTTACCTTAAACTAAAGATGTTCTATGTGACTTCCGTTGGATTTGGGGAAAATAATTGTTTAGGTATGAAAAAATAGTGAAAACCGTTTAAAATTTGAGAGAAATTTAAAAAATGTTGAAATTAGGGCGTTTTTTGACGGTGAAGGAGTGCGATACACCCACTTCTAGATGTGCTAGGGAGTTGAAATTTCGCACACTTGTTATTCTTGGTCCCAAACCACCCATAAAATTCCAAAAAGTCGCATTTTCAAATTTTAACCCCCCCAAAAATCCAAAATGGCGGACCTCTGAAAACGACAAAACACGTTTTTTTTCAAACGGCTATAGCTCAAAAACGGTTAAAGCTAGAAAAGATTTGAGGAAAAAACGTAGGTTCAAAATTAAATTTCCTACAAGACACTAATTATGCGTTTTTCAAAAATCGCACTCCTTCACCGTCAAAAAACGCCCTACTTTCAAAATTTTGTAAATTTATCTCGAATTTTTACCGGTTTTCACTGTTTTTTCATACCTAAATAATTATTTTCCCCAAATCCAATGGAAGTCACATAGAACATCTATAGTTTAAGAGGTAAAAAAACTTGAAGTGTTTTCCTTTAAAACAACACCAAAACCAGCTCTGTATCTTGTTTAATAAGATTTATATGAATTTTTAAAGTTGTAAAGTCCTTTTTGAATCACCCTGTATAGTTTTCGTAACTTCTATAAAATTGTACTCTGTAAAACAACCACACTGCATTGGCCTTAAAAACTAGTAATTTATTAGAAAAGGCTGGGAAACTCGACAGTGCCTGGTTCCAATCGAGAAGAAGCCGTTCTGAGAGCAGTCTTGTTAGCCCTTTGTATAGTTGGGGTTACCAATAAAATATTCTTCTTTGTACTAACCAATACGTACATGTAATCTTCATTGGATATAATCTTTATATTTACTAGTTCATGGAAAAATTTAACAGTAACATTCTGAATTTGTTTGCAACAATGCAAACTTGTGCAGGTTTTTCCACTAAAATGTAATTAAACTGGGCTACCTATTCGACATGAAACACAAGCTACTCAATTTGACATTCATGCTCAATGTCATACTTTATTCAGTCAGTGGCCAGTTCAGCACAGGCCTTAAAGTCCATCTTAGTACATAGCTCAAGGAAGACGTCTTGAAGGTAAGGAGATCTGTCTGTTTTTAATAGAATATTCCATAAATTCACAGCCATGACGTCCATTAATTATTGTGACTGAGAATACTAGTCTCCATTCTCAAAACTGACTGAAGCAATGGTTGCTACAAAAATCACAACTTGAATGTGTCCTTTTAATTACAGAGCAATATTTTTAGAAAACTAAAAAGATTTTCCATTTTGCTGTTAAAAGCAAGTTAAACTATTTTGTGTGTATTTTCCTACGTTAAAATATTAAACAGGGTGTTAAATGAAATAAACACACTATTAAACACAATCTTACAACATATTTATATTAAAGTAACAACAATGCAATACAAAACAAACACTAATTTAATCGATTTAGCTCTGGTCTAGCTGGACAATCTTATAAACTTATAAATTACATTAACTGAAAGTATTCCACTAAAAATATTGGAAAATCAACATACAGATATCACTTGTATAAGTTTTACAATTAGCGTAAATTTTGCAATAGCTTCAAGAAAAAACCAAGAATTTAATGACATTCCAAAGCAAACGTAAGGTATAAAAGGCAATAATTGAAATTCTAAACTAACATTGATGATTTGAAATTTGAATGGTAAAATATAAATTAGGAGAAAATAAGTGTTGCAAAGTGTTTATAATACTATATTAACATTTTGCATTGTATGCGTGCAAGATAAAATCTATTAAGACCTACATTATTTGTATCGTATTTGTACACAAGGGTATTCTAACCTTTATAAAATCAAAAGCCCCAACCCAGTCTTTGCCCGTTTATCACAGAGGTTTAATTTCCATCAGTTCATCGAGAACGTGAAAATTAGGATGGAACTACGTTCTAAACACCACGCTGAATTCTGTCTGGCAATAGTTGTGTTACTATCGCAGATGTTCATACTCAGAAGAATAAACTTTGAAGAAAAAATAACATTGAGGACAGTGGCTAGTTACGAGTAGAAATGTTCACTAATTTGGAAAAATATGAAGAATTTACAGCTCTACACTACGTTGTACAATTACGTTATTTAGTATTGATGTGTTTTATAGACTAAAACTAAAGCACCAAATGCAATATAACAAATACTGACATGCCGTTTATAATCATTGTCTAACATTGCGATAACAAGTGGGAGAAAGTCTTTCAATGTTGAGCAGTTTAATTAAAACATTTAACTGTAAGATAATAATTAATTCATAAGGTGTTAAAATAGACCATCTCTGTAAATCCGTTTGTTTAACGAAAACTTGATAACAATTTCAAATTTATTAAATAATAATTATTACGAAATATAAGTAGCATGATTTGTCTACAGATTTTTCCATCCCCATAACATTGCAAAATTAATAAATTCCAATACAATAAATAACAAAACTATATCCCAGGCCACCACCACAGTATGGTAACAATAGGTTTTCTATGAAGTGCATGACTTAGGGTACAAAGTTAGATACTTATATAAAGCGTATTGCTAAAAAAGCCACAAAGTGATCAAAGTCATGACTACTATTTGTAGTGGATTGTAAAAGAATACCTTTAAAAGGAAATGTGAGCATATCAAAGCTGCACTAGACGGAAGTTTGCTAAAACGTTTATAAAAATTCATGTTCAAATTCTAACTTAATATGATATTTTTCAATTTATAATGATAATAACGCTTTCAACTGAGCCCGCAGATTATGAAGGGGTCAAGTATGTCTAACAAAGCTTTATGCTCCTAATCCAGAGATAAAAATCTATTGAAAAATATATTGAGATTGTTTGCACTCTTTTGGTAAAATTACTGCCTAAGAGAAAACGTGTGATATTTAAAATTCGCATCTAGACATACAGGAGATGATGTCAGAGGGAGATTGGATTCTGCGGCAAACATTCCCCGATGGACATCCGATGCATCGCCATCTCCGTGATGCCGTGGAAGTGTACAAACGCAGCAGCAATCACCAACACATGGAATATCTGGTGACTCTGAAACTGTTGACAAGACAAGGTTAACTTCATATGCAAGATAAATATTGCATAAACTAAATTAAACATACCAAGCCTACAATGAGAGAAAATCATGTGGCTGATGGACCCTTAGAGCTTTAAAGGCTTGCATTGGATGCATGAGTAACGTAACCAAACTTCCATTTACAATCATCTTAAAACTATAACTAATAAAATTCTGAAATTTACACTTGGGTTTATGACTAGTGTTTATTATGCAAGACCGTTAACTCTAATCAATGGCCGAGCAGTCTGAGCTGTTGTCTCTCTGGCTGAAAATACCACAAATTGAGGGTTAGAAATCCTGTCTCAGTCAGATCTGATATGTAATTCATAAGGAGTTCACCTGTCTGTAGAGCCCACTTAAATAAACAGTGGATGGCTCGGGTAGACAGTATAGGTAGATTGGAGATTCATTGAGCTGCACAACAAATCAGGCATTTATTCATTTTGGCTTTAACTTATTGAATGTGAATCCACCTGTTCATCCTTCTAATCCATGGGAGAGGGTGCACATCGATTTCTTAGGACCATATGATGGCCAACAGTACTTGGTATTATTGGATGCTTTCAGTAAGTGGGTGGAGGTGATACATACAATAACAACTACAAGTGCATGGACAACACAAGAATTACGAAGAATCTTGTCAGATTGTGGGTTTCCTCACATCTTAGTCTCAGATAATGGAAGACAGTTTGTTTCCCATTAGTTCAAGAATTTCATTAATGAAAGTGGGATTATTTACAGAACAACGGCACCATACCACCCAAACTCAAACGGCCAGGCTGAAAGATACAAGCAGACTATCAAAAAATGTGTTAAAATCCATGGAGGGAGAAAAGGGTGCACTGCAAAATAAAATCCAAAGACTAATGCAACTCAGGCAATCCCCCAGCATATCACCTAATGTTTGGAAGAAGCATACGAACAAACCTAGCAACTATTATTCCAACCATAGAATCAAACAAACATCAGAAATGGGGACTCCAATTTGGTATAAAAATGAATTTTAAAGTTGGAGATAAGGTGCAAGCTCGGGAATACGCCAATGGATCATCCAAGTGGTACTTGGGCCATGTAACTAAAAAGCAAGGACATGTAATGTACAAAGTTCAGCTAGATTATGGGCGCATTATCAAAAGACATGTTGATCAGCTGATCCTTCGCAAAGTGCCACAGCACAGAAATAGAGGAGGGGGTGTTAACATATGTTTTATTTACATTTAATTCCAACATGTGTTCAAATTGTTATGATGGTTACCTATTGAATTGTTTATGTTTTTACCTACAGATTGTGATTCAACAAAAGAATCTATTTTCTATTTTCTCTTACAAAATGTGAACTTTTATTAGTAAAATTAGTGGAATAAACACCGCCAAAAAGGTTTCTTGAAATAATTAGGACTTTTGCAGTTGAATGAAAAACATGAATAAAATAAAAATTCAAATTATTAAATCAATGAATTGAGTTCAAAGTGTTAAAGTAATTCTTACCCAAACAATAAGCTAAAATCAGTGCAGATTAATGACACTTGAAGTGCTTCATTAACAAGCCAACATTTGTACTGACTCATTAACACATTTCACAAATGTTAGATGGTTAGTTAGGACTTCTTCAGAGAATAGGTCAAAGAAATCTCTTCAACCTAATCTCTCAAGAAGTCTTACACCAGGACGAAATATCAGTGTTAAGTTTTATGTTATTTTATTGTGTATCCATCCCTGGACTATAATTTTCTCAGGTATGCTAACGGAACCCCCTTACATGTCATTACATGTGTCACTACTGATCTGTTTTTTTCAATTTTTTTGTAAAGGGTTGGGGTTTGGGGTAATCCTACCTCTTGCTACTTTGGCCTTTTGACCTATTGTAGCACCCCTCAGGTATGTTGTGCAACTCATGTGGAGTTCAACTGTCAGTGGCAGGGTTTGTTGGTGTCAGAGGCCCACCTGGGTGGAAGTTGATGGGATAGCTGTCTCTTGTGAATGACTAGTTCCATCCATAGTTAAAGCTATCTATAACCTGTACACTAACTCTCTCAGATGTATGCTAGCTGGTCCCTATCCCTTTTCAAAAAGGTATCTAGTGATAAGCATTATACTTACCCAAATATCACATCTCCCGGGGAAGAACCTCTCAGGTACCCTCCATGCGTAGAGTGCGGCCCCCAGGATGTAGAGAAGACCCATGAGGATGAGCCAACCTAGTGAGGCGTGACTGACTGCGTTCACCCATCCCTCGGCGATGGCGTAGTGCACAGCGGGGACTACTCCGCTCAGACCAAACACTGTGAACACCGCTGCGGACAAGATTCTAAGTCACAAAACTAGAAACATTGGTTACTGTCAATTATAGTAGTGTTTTAGTAAAATAATCACAAACATTTGACTTTTTTAAGGGAAAGGGGTTCAAACATCAATATTTTCGGGGATAAACCAAAGATTGAACAAGTTTCTCTCAGACCTAAACGTCACATGCTACTAGGGTAATCACACACACAGAGACACATTGGACACATTCAACAGTGGGTCTGTAGGCATTTGTTATCTGGTTGAAAGTTAATGTATGATTTTAACCAGTCACCTAAAGTAATTAAGTTACTTTATTTTGTTAATTTAATAAAATCTCTCTAATGAAAAATATCAATCTTTAACCCACCATCGGTAGCGTAAGAACATTTGTTCTTAAGAAAACTTGTTTATTCATTTTCAAATAAGTATATGAGTCATCATTTTAAGGCATTTCCATGAATATAAGTATATGAGTCATCATTTTAAGGCATTTCCATGAATATTCGCCTAAGCATGTAGATTGTAGAGGAGAGGAGGGGGTGGGGGGAAATAACACATTCCAGGGGTTTTAGGCATTGCCTCTATACGCTACATACAAATCAGTCATTGAGTCAATTGACAAGGGTGAGCACATGTTGGGAGTGTTCATGGATTTATAGAAGGCGTTTGATAGTGTTAATCATGAACTATTAGCCTACTTTTTAAATTAGAACAAATTGGAATCAGGAATAACTCTCTTAATTGGTTTAAATCATACTTATCAAATAGACAACAGTTTGTTGAAATAACTCACATCACTAAAGACAATTATAAATTAAAATACAGTTCAAATATGGGCACAATAAGATCTGGTGTACCTCAAGGATTATCTAAATTATGCCCCATGCACAGGTTTGTATCTTTATGCAGATGACTAAATCTTAAAGTATCTGGGAAAACTGCAGAAGATGTTGAGTTGCCATCCACTATAGAAATAGCTTGTATTGAGGATTTTTTAATAATCCTATATATTAAAACGTAACAGGGTTTTTTTATTTCACGATTCGTTTTTCACGACGTTTTTTTTTATTAAGTTTAAGTTTTTAAAAAGTCTAGCAGCCGACGGACGAGTTTAAGTCGTTTTAGTGGTGGTTTAACTGACAGCTGGTTTCTAACTGTCATTGAAATGTTTATGTTACAAGTTGTTTGTATACAAAAATATTGATCGTCAGAGTTTGCCTACACACTATTTCACTTTAAAATAAAGTTTCTTTCCTACCGTAAAAGATTAATTTTATCAGGAGATTGTGTAATTTTGAACTAACATTTTTAAACGTATAATCAAGTTTTGTCATGAATGCAATCCGTCTAAGTATAAGTCCTTAATCCTTTTAAAATATAAGTGGTTTACGTGTTGATACATATTTTTCTATATGTTTGAATGACTGCATGAATGATGGGTATGACTGCATACAGTACACATTTTATTCGTAATAAAAGTGTCAACCGGTGTAGTAGGTCTACAGAAAACTGACCAGTAAGCTGCAGGGTGTCAGTAGAAACCAAAATCGATTCATACATCATAACTATCCCAGTAGTACTGTATGATTCAGAATCTTGATAAAGGGGTACATTCCAAAAGTAGACCAAAAGGCTCGGGTGGGCTGGGCAGGCTTTGCGTGGTGGAGAGAAGATACTTCAACTTTTAAAAGTGTATTCCAAGTAGTACTACAAGGTAGACGACCACTTGGAAGACCAATTAATGAAAGACGTCTTTAGACTGGTATCTTTCTTAGAAATGGCAGGGGATAGAAGAGAACGGGAGGCCAGGATCATTTTAGAGGTTTCAGTGGCCAAGGTGGTAAAATAAGGTACGGTAAGTGATAGTATGCAGTGTAGAAGGTGTTATGTAGCTACTGTACTCAAACCAGTGTGTGTGAATCGGCCACCAAGTTGTAAACTAGCTGTTCTGGATCATATTCAGATTTAATTGACTACTAGGTTCACGTACGTAGGACGGGCCAACAGCTTGTCAGAATTTAAAATTTAATGAAAGTTAAACTGAATGTGTCACATTCAAAACAAAACAAAACAAAAACAAAAACAATCCTAACATTGAAGTAAATAACCAACCAATTGAAATAACAGAAGCCGTAAGGTTCCACGGCCTGACATTGGACAGTAACTTATCTTGGGAAGGGACCAACATTGTAAACTTGTTTTAAATTTAAAAAATTCCGGTCTTTTCTTTGTGCGATTAGAAAAATGTCAATACTATAATACTGCATTGGAGTTTTAAAAATGATTTATTTTCCTCATATATCTTATGGCATGTATATATGGAGCCACCTCAAATTCAAATCTAGACCAATTATGACAATACAGAAGCAATCAATCAGAGCTATGTTAAAAGAACAACGATGATTCTGCAAAAGAACACTTTTAACATTTAAGAATTCTTACTGTTTATGGTTTGTATGTTCTTGACTGTATTATGTTTGTCAAAAACAAAAATTTCAATCCACCAATTAGAGAAAACAACCATAACTACAATACACGTAATTAAAATAACTTTGTAATTGGAAAACATAAATTAGAGCTCTTCAAAAAAAGACTGTCAATGCAGGGCATGAATTTTTTTTAATTTTTCCTTTGAAAATTAAAACAGAACAAAACCCAACATTTTAAAAAAACGCCTCAAGGAATATTTAATGGACCTGTACATATACTCTTCAGATAAATAAAAAATGGCTTTATCATGGTTTTAAGCATTAGTTTTAAATTAATTTGACACTATTCATGTACAACCATGTATACTATCAATAAAGATTCTTGACTATGACTATGACCATTTAAAGTTTTTGTTGGTTAAACTATTTGAAATTTCTAAACTCTATTTGTACTTTCCTACCATCGGCAACCTTATATTACACTACCTGCTCTGATTGGCCTGAAGGCTGGCTCACTGAAGCGGTCCCACAGTGAGACTATCATAGCACTGAGACCCAGCGTGATCACGACACTGAGGTAGATCACCTTGGACTGGAAGTGGCAGTAGAAGCCGTAGTACAGCCAAGGCACAAATGAGCCAGTGATCAGTAGAGCGATGCCGCAGTAGTCCAACCTGGCGACGAACCAAACGAGCATACAAAGTTTAGCAGAGTTTCAATCTTCCAATCATTGGTTACCTATCCTTCCCTGTACACAATCCAGTAACATGGGATCGCATGCGTTTTAGGTGTGGTATAGCTACACAATAGTACATATGTTGAGAAGCTCTTTGCTACCCATGACTCTGACTTTACCTGTAAGATATGCACCATGCTTAAGGTGCCAGCTGTTTTTGACGGTTTTTTTCTTTTACTCATCACTATTAGTACTAGGCCTAGTCCGCTACATACTACCATTGCTTAAAAACACCACACAGTTTGTCAATTGCTCATATCTGCATATCTCTGTTTCCCTTAAAATCTTGGTCTCAATGCGAATGATAACCATTGGAATGGTGAAGTGTAGCTTATGCTTTATTTTGTATTCGACTGTTTCAGTGGTGGTGGTTTAACTTTGCTATTCAATTCTTGATTTCAGATTATAGTTAAAAAAAAAAACTAGATTTGTTTCTTGTTTGATTTGCTTTATATGTCATTACTAAACAGGTATTTCAAAGGTTTTTTATGTTTGAATATAATGTTAACATTTTAAAATCATTTAATTTGATTTTGTGTATTCTGACCCGCATAACCAATCTCAATATGGTCGGCTTAGGCCTAGATTGGATAATCAACACCCTGAACCCAAAATAATATAATACTTTCGTCCCTTTATTTCAACCTACACCTTCAAGCCAAATTTTATATAAATGGGACATAAATTATTTAAATTTACTTATTAAAATTATTTAACTCAATGTTAAAAGAAAGCCTTGAACCAAGTGAGCACTAAGAAGTAACACTTGCTATTTTGCAAAATTCTACAACATTTACACAAATAGAAAATTAACTTATCATAAGAGCTTCATATTTAAAATTTCTTTCCTAAAAGTTGGTTTTCAACATTTACTAAATTCAACTTTTTAAAATATCTGTATTTTAACTGCATATTTTCCATATTTATCAATCCCCAGTTAAAACTGAACAATATAGACATGAAAACCGTGCAGTTAGTGGGTGTGTAAGGGAACGACTTGTCGCCTAGTGCGGCCGGTGCCGTAAGATAACATCTCATGGTATTTGTCACTGCAACCAAAAAACCCTCCCGGTCGCATTTATCTTTCAGTCGCCAGTGGTCGCTGGTCATGGGTCACTTAGTGTGGCCGTCTCCATTTAATTTAATGCAACGTACATTCATTCATTATAGCTGCAGCTTTGTCGCCGCGACAAAGTCTTCAAGTGTGGCCGTAGCCTTAGAAAACCAAAATACTTTCCATGCAGAGATAACCTCTGAAAAAGACTTCCAACTTGTTTTCAATTTTTGAAAATGCAAACAAGCAGCTGTTAAGTAAGTGATTCAATTAAATTGCCTACTTATTAGGATTGTTAGATGTTAGTGTGCATTATACTATCAATATGTAAAACTATCTTACTAATATTATATATCTGAAAGTTTGTGAGTTTGTGTGTATGTTTGTGTGTATGTTTGTGTGTGTGTTTGTGTGTGTGTTTGTTGCTCAATCACGCATAAACTACTGGACGGATTGGGCTGAAATTTGGCATGATGATAGCTCACATTCCCGATTAACATTAAAGCATATTCTTATCTCAAAGACCCTTTCGGGCTCCGCCCCAGTGGCTCTGTAGTTTCCCATGTTAATCTTATGATTTTTCATATTTAAAAGGAATTAATGAATCTTAACAGCTGTCTCAATTAAACAAGTTGGTTCTGTTCTATGATGTTCAACAGCATAAAAGTTACAAGGATTACCAACAGGGTGCAGCACTATTAATTTTTTTTTTTATTTATGACAACAGCTAATTTCCAACTAAAAGGTGAGTGAGCGTAGCGAACGAACTTCAACCTTGAGGCGAGTTAGCGTAGCGAACGAGCTAACCTGAAGGCATGTGAGCGCAGCGAACGAGCTCCAACCTAAAGGTGAGTGAGCGTAGCGAACGAACTTCAACCAGGACGTGAATGAGCCATGCAAATACTTATGAAGCTAAACGGGGCGAAGCCCGCGGGTACAGCTAGTTGAAAATAATGCTAAAATAAGCTATAACCAATTAAATCAAACTATGCATACTTTCAATCAGGGGCGGCTCCAGGTAATTTTTTTGGGTAGGCCTGTCAAGGATCAAGAAGGATTTTAATCACGGTATGAGAGGTTTGAGGGGCTTCCCTGCAAAAGGGGGAAACTATAAAATTAAATGTAGAATAATGAGTGTTGATGCTTTCCCTTTATTTACATATAATTAAATGTCTTTATATATTCATAATTTTGAAATAACTGCCAAAATTTGGGTAGGACCCTCTGGAGCTGACCCTGCTTTCGATATGTGAGATTTCTCGCAATCGAAGTTTACAACTGTAGTTTAACAACAGCTGACTTTTAATCCCTGGGGATAAAAAATCTCTTTACCCCCTAGATAGAAAAAAGCTACTTTAGACCCACAATATACGCATTAAAAACAGCTGTTTTTTCTGCAGTGTGACAAAAAGGTATTTATTCACTTTCTTAACATTACAGTTTTTCAAGTCTACAGATGATCACTTACTTGCTAAACAGTTTTCCCACACTCTGTGAATGACAGTAGACTGTGTGAAACGCAAAGGAAAAACCCAAGCAGACGATAGCTCCGGCAAAGAAAGCTGCGAATACTAATTTTTCCTGCAGGTTCACCTCGATAGATGGCCTCGACAGGAAGTAAATGGCCACACCGATAAATGCTACGCACCCTGTAACAAGTGGTTTAAAAAAAATTTACAAGTGTCGCTGCAGATTGTATTTGTTGTAGTGTTTAATTGTACAAAAGAAAAGCCAAATAGCACTGAATTGCTTGGTGACTTCTATATCTAAAGGAAAAAAGAACGTACAGACTTAGAACACAAATTATACATGTATGGTAGTTCAGTAGTTCCAAAGGAGCACTGTGCATCCACAATAAGACATTTTGTGCTGTGCTTAAAGACATTTGTCTAAATATGTTTAAAGATAAAAATTGGAAAACAAGTTTTCAGCAGCATTGATCTAATGGGTAACAAAACACCTTACGGTATGACATCAACACCAAGGAGCATACCAAACAGTGAGATTTATACTAGCCAACAATACTAGTCCATTTTCACTGTTCCATTTAGGCATAAAAACATTATGGACTACAAACCGAGTAGATGTGTCCATATGTTGCCAGTCTCGGAGTGTATGCGGAAGATTGATCGAAAACACGCAGAGAACGATGGCAGAGGTGGTCTGTGGCCGGCGTGGAGGTAGTCATTGTCTTGCAGCCATCGCGGCAGACTACGGAAATGGCAGACAGACCACGAGGCCTCCCACACCTGTCACAACAAAATTTCCTACAAGTGTTCAAACTGTTCAATATTTACTCTTAATTCTCATTATTTATATGTATAAAATATATAGATTTATAATTTCATAAGAGCCAAGATATCTCATCAGCAATAGGAGGAATTTAAGGATTTTATGTACTGCGTTGAAATCTAATTATTTTACAGATGGATAACAAATTTCAATTTTAGTCATAGAGTTTAGGTACTTTCTTCCTATTTCTTACCGTCCCAATACATTGTTCATTAAACTTACATTAAATTAAATTGAAACATGAAAATTAAATTGAAAGTTATAGAGTGGGTATGTGATTTCATAGATTTTTTTAAAGCCATAATAAATGTTTAACATTAACTAATTTTTAAGAGTTGATACCCCTAAACAGTACACTCTTTTTTCAGCAATGTGAACTAATTTAATGTTTAATATTCATTGCTATCAATTTTCAGGGTTTTATAAATTTAATTTGTGACAAAATCATATTTGAGAATAGAGTGATGATCTTTATAGCTTGTCATTTGTAGATAACAGACGATTGTCAGCGTCGAGGTAAGTAACTTAATGGTATGTTTATTGTTTGTACAATATAAGCCAAACCCACCTTGCGTACAAACTCCTCAGCTTGTTCAGCTGCGTTGTGAGCCATGGTGCTGAGGTCCATGTCATCTCCATGACTCATCTGGGCCTTGAGAACCTCCACTGTAGCCTGTCACAGTGAAGCATTGTCAAAACTAAACATTTATTCCTAATCATAAATATTACCTAGTTAGTATGAAGGAAATTAAAGAAAAACACGGTAGGTTAGAAAAACATCAAAGGATTTCAGGCTGTTTTGTGGTTCAGCATTATGTAAGGTCAAGGTCTTTACCCAGTTGTATAAAACTAATTAATACAAGGGTCATATGGTAGGGTTGTTTTATTTTCAACCTCCAATTAATTCCAGAACTGATTATTGAAAGCGGGTGTGCATAGGAGTGAAAGACCAACTTCCACATTACACACATTGCCATTGCTGTCTTCTGATAAGTCTGCATTGTGCTACAGCTATGTTAAGATGGCTGGCATTATTAATTAACACACAAAGAGTCAATTTGTTTTCTGTAAGCAAAATATAATAGTAAATCTGATCATTAGAGAGTTTGGTGTGTGTATAAAACTTGATGAATGATGTTGTTACGCATGGATGTTGTTAAAAGTTTAAAGACACAGAACGTCTTTTCTAGCATAATAACTAGCGTCACAAACTTCAGTGCAATAGTTATGGACTTGAAAACTTTAGCGCATCCACAAGTATTTGGAATGCTTTCGTTTAAAAGCATTTGCAATAAGCTAGGCCTACTTAAAATTTCACACAGGTGTAGCTACTTCAAAGTAATTAATTAATTAAAGAAAGGTTAATTTTCCTTTAATATATATTATTTGAGCTGATTAGTATTCGCAGACCTCAGTTTCCAACAGGCGAGGATCGACCGGTGTGGAAGGAAGAGGACAACCTCCAGCCATCTCATCTTCTGATAGTGCTGAAGAGTTGTCTATCTCTAACAGCTCCTGCCATAACACAAGACAACAATTTACTTCAGAAAAGCAACTTTAATAGTATAGATTACAAAACAATTGAACTTTAATACAACAAAATTTTCAAATATTCCTTGAAACTTGTTAACCTACCATGTTGTTTTTGGATGCTGGTATAATCTACTTAAAACTGGGACCCGGCTTGATAGGACCTGAACTAATGACAACTCTGGTAAGCCCAACACCCTAACACAGTAGGTATAATAGTTTTAAGCTCGTCTTCAAAGCTGCAGCATTCACGTACAATTTCCAACTTGTTATGTAATGAGTCAACAAAATTGTTGAGTGAAGGTTTTTTTAAGTTACTTTATGTGTTAAAGCTTTAACAGCACCTAAATAATTCAAAACATCATTTTGAAAATCCTCTGTTATCGACGGTTTTGAATAACCAGACCTTAAAATCAATGTTGAAACTAAATCCGCAGTTAACAAACAGCAAGTAACAGCTCTTATAGTAACTCTACGATAAAATAATACACTAGCAACCACAACCCCTTTAAAAAATTACAATGGGTTATCGTAATCAATGGTATATTTATAGGTCCACGAGTTTTTAGTTATCTTTTGGTTAACTTTGACTTGAGCAAGGTATTACAGGTCAAAACTTGTAATCCCTGCTACTTACTTTTATCTATGACAATAAAGAAATTGAAAAAATTTTACTTGCAGAAATGATAAATCAAATAAATATGCCAAACAATCTAATTTTAGTAATTTTCAAGTGAAATTAATGGAATTCTCTAGAACTTACAGAATAATAATGGTGTGTATAATGATCCATATACAACACACAAACATACAACATACCAGCTGCACAAGCATTCGGAGTGTTGCGTAATATTACCAGCTGTTAGGGAGTTTTAACAGCTGTCACAGTGACGCTCAATATGAGTAGTTTCATGCATTATTGTTATCATAGCTTGGATAAGTTAGCTTGAAATTTTAGTTTAACTATATTAAGTACCGGTACTTCAAATTATAAGCAAAGTACACTGCTTCTGATAACTGAAGAAAATATAGTATTAAAAGTAACGTATTACAGCTTAAAAAATTTTTTTGAACAAAAGTTTTCAGCATTATAATAAAAAGGAGAGTCGAAAACCACCACTTGTTATGTGTACACTAGTTTTTGTAAGCCTACAGTATTTTGTTCCCTGCTACCTGATGATGTACCGGTATGTATAACATCAAAACACCTAGTCTATTCTAGGAGCAGAGGAATCATTCATTAGGCAGTAACAGGTGGTAACTTATTTTAAATTTTTAACAATAAAAAGTCTACTTTCATTGAAAAATCCTTAATGCTCAAAATATAATCAGTACAGGAATATATGATCTTAACAACCTTATAATAGTCAAAGTTAAATACGTGATTATAACCTAAAACAATTCCTAACTTTTTATTTTACAACCCATGTATTCTTTTCAATAAATCAACCATTATGTTTCCTTTAGGCAGTTTAATTTTTAAGTTGCCATTAGATAGGAGTGTTGCTGAAATAAAATTAATTCCAACTATTTACACATATAAAGCTTTGAGGGTTTTATTATTGAGATTGTTCACATTGGCAATGCTTGTAATGTTTTGATTGAAATACTTGTTACCTCTATCCATACTTAGGCTTTACTTATGAGGATATGTAGATATAGACTACCAACCTGTGAGACTCGCATCAACCTCAAATACTGAAGTAGACATACCATCTAAACACATGGACTAGATGTTATTTTTAGCAGCACACTATATCGATGGCTCATTTAGTTTTCTTTTTTGTTTTTGGTTCTAAACCTTTGACATGGGAATGCAATTTCTATTTTAGGGTAGTCTTTTTATAGTCAAATATAACACTAACCACAAAAATATAGACTATTTTCTTTAAAACTTTCTAAAATACAATAAAATACACTGTAGTATCCAAACAGAGTTATGTCTCTTTTGCTATAGGTTCACGACTGTTTAAGGGGAAGAAATATGAACGTCGTTGGCTCCATAGAGGTATATTTTTTAAGTTAAGCACTCAATGTTATTTAAATGGGTTTCATTACCTCACCGAGTGAGTTTTTCTCAACTTTACATCACTCGAGAAGTAAGGAAGTTGTATACATCACGCTTGGGATAGGGAAGTTTAACATGGCGGGTTAGGTAAAATATTATATTATAGCAAGAGCATTAGTAAATTTATTGTCTAGAATATCAAAAACAAAAAATAATAGCAGTTGACACTATTTTGCAGTATCAGCTGGTTTATATAACTTGACCTTTATTCGATACGCAAATGATTAAACAACCCTATCACTAGCAAGCTAGGTCATCAAACTTGTGACAAGTACACTACATGTCTTTGGAATGTTATTATCTAAAAACTTACCAAAGACAATTCATTATAAAAACGTTTCATGTATTTTTATTGTTATAACCAATTGAGGAATGCCACCTAGCCTAGTATTTGAAAATTTTAACCCATTTTTACACTGTTTAACACATTTGGTCTAGATGGTTGGGGCATTGTCACTTCAATATAATCTATTGGAGATCGGCAGGATTCAAACCCGAGGACTGAGTGTGTGTACTAATCTTATTATGCCTTAGGTACTTTCTCATCTGACCAAGTTGTCAAACAAGACACTGACACTGGTTTTTTTACTAGTTGTGGACTGAAAAATACTACGGCGTAGAAGGGCCAAGGAGTAATATTTTTTTGTAAAATTCTGACTTTTAATCTCAAAATTTTGACTTTTAATCTCTAAATTTTGACTTCTATCTCAAAATGTATACTTGTATCATTGAATTCTACAACGTCGTATTTATTGCAAGCGCTTTTACAACTGGAGCTCAATTACTGTTTAAATCATCTGGTTTTGAGTGTTAAATTACCACCAAACTCCGTAAGTAGGCCTACTATAACCATAGAGATGAATAGATAGACTGGAGTCACTACTCTCTGGTTGAACATAGGAGAAAAGCGTGCCATCCAAGATTTCCGCTTGTGCCGTTATGTTGGTCATACTGTCTCGGTTGGCTGTACTTGTAAAAAAAAGTCAAAATTTTGAGATTAAAAGTAAAAATTTTGAGAATAAAAGTCAAAATTTTGAGATTAAAAGTCAAAGCTTTGAGATAAAAAGTCAAAATTTTGAGATTAAAAGTCAAAATTTTAAGATTAAAAGTCAAAATTTTGAGATTAAAGTCAGAATTAAAAAAAAAAAAATACTCCATGGCCCTTCTACGCTGTCGTAGAAAAACCCCTAAATAACATAAATCTGACTCCAAAAATGAACTTCAAACAAAGAAATCCCAATGGTCTCACCTTGACTTCGTGCAGTCCTGGGACTTCGGAGCTCAGTGAGATCTGATCAGGGTCCCAGGTGGAGGCGGAGGTAGCGGAGGGTCTATGACGCAGACCGATACCTCCATTGGCCAGAGGGTGGGACACATCCTCCAGGCTTTCTATGGCGTCTTCGTATTCACTCATGCTGTAACATAACCGCTTTAACTACACGTCCCTCAATTTGTACAACTGTACAGTAGAACCGCAACTAAAGGTCACTTAACTGCCAATCTCTGTTGTTCGTCACCTGAAAAATCTGTACTTTGTTACCTTTACTGTAGGTTTAACCCATGCTGCAGTTAACAAAATGCTAAACAGTAAATAAATGTCAATACTGTAAATAAAAGTTTGTGTTGTAATTCACATAAGCAATTTGTTATGTTATTTTCCTTTCCAAAAGCATTGTGATTTTCCAAACTGTATGAAACGAACATGCTACAGACTAGAATATGTGGCTATTTCAGTTTGGCCTGGTTAGAAATTTTGGGTAAGACAGAAATAAGTGACTGATAGAATTTATACTCTAAAACTGTCAAATATGCTAACATGAGAATGGGTTGACTAGTTCTATCCATAGTCTTACCAAGTATATGAAAGGCTTATAGGCCCTAGGCTATCACCTTTGACTATTAATACAACCCAATAGTCACTTATTCACTTATTATCTTCAGAATTAATATCCACCCTGGTGCGTCAGCTTTATATTGAGTTGAATGTACTCTATGGTATGCTGTAAGGTTGTCATGGAAATTGTGGTGATTTAATACGTATAACATCGTGTCACAACAGGCCATAAAAAGCTTAACATTTACTGGGAAACCTGAGTGAATTAAACGAAATTGACTTTTTTATTTTCATCAGAGCCTTCGATGATTAAATAATAGTGAGTAATATTTTGGCCTGAAGTATTTAATTAATCAACTACGAAGGCTATGTAACGGTAACACTACTCAGTATCATGTTTCATGACCCTGGACTCTGATAAAAGAAATATATTACTATCACTGCCGCATGTGAACTTTGACTTAAACCAAAAAAACGTTTTGTAAACAATCAAGATTGTAAAAATTGATTTGCAAATCTCAGTTTTCAGTCTGCTGTTTAACCTAAGTTAAATGAAAAACACGTAGGCCTATATTAAGTTTAATTTTAGTTGTTTTTTTTTCAGCCCAAAAATATGAAGTTATTTACTAAATGGGCAAAACTCATAATCTAAGCAGTGGCAGATCCCTCGGGCATATTTGTTTACTGCATGTAATAGTGCATAAACATTGCATAAAATTAATTGTCACAATAAAAATCATCTTTTGGGGGGGGGGGGGTACCTCCAATCTCGAGGCCCCCTCAATCTAAGGCTGGATCCGCCACTGAATCTAAGCTATTAATTAAATATGCTTCAAGTCAAAGTTTTGAAATCTAGATGAAAATCATTAGAGCCCTAGTCTTCTTGGTAAAATATACATAGGCCTAGCAAACAAGGTTGATTCTGTGCTGGTCTCTTGTTCAGTCTTTACTATAAATCATGTTATTGTATAAAATCTTCCAGATTCTAGACCCAAATGCCATTTTTGTCATTGAGCTATCATTCAATGGTAAGCCTACGCATAACGGAATATTAACATTACATAGGCATACCCTACTAAGAAACAAGACCAGGTTTTAGACTACATAACTTATTTAACCCAACAATAAAACTTAAAAATTCTAAAAGCATTAAAAACCTAATAAAAAGATAGCCTATGTAATGTCCTAGATTTTCTGTGCATTCAAAATTAGATCCAGCTGGTCATAAGTGTTGGCCTTGTTACAGATCAGTCAGTCCTCAGTCCTATTTCACATTCATTTTTCATTCATACCCTTGTTACTGGCCCTTGTTATTGTGTCAGCATTTTGAAATAGCAGCAATGTTACTGGCCTATCCATCCTCCTATATAAGAAATAAACTTAGCCCGATCACAAATGACTCAGATGGAAAAAGAATCACTCCAAAGACCAGAGGAGAGAGGAGCACCAGGCTCAACTGTGGGTCCGGATGTCGATATGAGGGTGGCTAAGAACCCTAGAGGTTCAACAGTCACTCCACTCTCGGCAAAAGGACCTTCGAAGAAGGTCAGAGGTTCAACCCGTACGTCTGATCAAAGACTCGGGAATAGGCTTACCGGTACCTAGTTAGCGGCATGTGGGGTATACACAATAAGCTTTAAGGTTGACGTGCCGGGATCTTAAGTCTGCCCCCTCATACAGTACAATACAATACAAAACTGTTGGATTCAGCAAACAGAAGGAATAAGAAAGCATCTTCGGATTACTCAGGTCCTTCTCAGTGGCCAGTCATAAACAGGCCTAAGCCTTTTTTCCTAAATCATTTGTACACTTTATGGCTAGAGTAAAAGTCATATTTTTATAGAAACAATAATTTACCAATGCAAATTTATATTAGGCTACATTTCTTAACAGTTTAGTTATGTAATACCGAAACTAAGTTAATAAGTGTGGTAAGTTACCTAAGTCTATTCTGTGAGAATTTGATGATAGGAAAACCTCTCGGTTTAAAGATTTCTAAATTGATGGCGTTTTAAAGTAAATGAAAAATATTAAAAGTAGTGAATAGGCTACACATATTACAAACAAATATTAGGCCTATCTAAATTGTAAGTTGAGTGTTAAGTTAGGCTATCTTAGATCAAATGGTTGGCTAAAACTATACACAAGGTCAGCGGTTCTTTCAAAATAAAACCTAGTAAAAATAAAATGTTTTGATTCATAATAGGCCAAGATTGTGTTCCATAAAAAAGTACTGAACCCTCAACAAACTCCACATACACTTACATTGACATCTCAGAGCTGACGCGTCTTGCTCACTTGCTGTCTTGCAATTTGCAATGCAATACAATTCCTGAGACTTTCATGAACCAATAACCAATGAACCCTTCGCCCGTCAATCCGATAATAATAATGTGGCGTCTGCAAAGTGCAAATTTTCCAATAACAGTTCAATATTTACACATATGGTTGGCTTTGTAAAGCCAGGCCAGCTGACTTCATCATTTTTATTCTTTCAACGACCTATACCACTAACACAAAATGTGAGCGTTTTGTCATTGATTAAAAGGCAATATTACAATTTACTTGTTTAATCATTGACTATAGATTACTGTAACTAAACCTATCATCCCGGGGAACTGTTTAACATATTTGAGAGACTGACAGTGTACTTTAATTAAAGTGGTTTAAAAACATGTAATGTTGATAATCCAAGTGGTTGTGTAATAACTAGTTCCGGCTCACAATGGAGCCTTCTTCAGGTTTTCCCAAATAAGACATTGTCGCTTCTTCTGAAGGTCGTCAAAGCTCGTTTTGTAAATATTTACAAAACATAAAAAACATTAAAAACATACAACGCACCACTACTACGATCGTCAGTAGTGTACCTCAGGGGTCGGTTCTTGGTCCGGTACGTGTACTGTTCCTCCTCTTCCTCAACGACCTCCCATGGTTCAAAAGGGTGAAATAATAATAATATGTCTTTTTGCTGACGACACCTCTCTCGCTGTCTCCAGCCCAAACCGACTCGAACTAAACATATGTGTGCGTTTATACAAGCCAGTTGATTGTTGCAGTGGTTCGATAGAAATCTCCTCAAAATCAATCCAACAAAAACTCAGCTTCTTGGATTCTCAATTATAGGAAAACCAAAAACAAACAAAATTTTATTTTGGATGACACTGAAACTGAAACCACTGCTCAAGTAAATGCCCTGGGGTTATTCATTGGGAAACTAAGTGATGAGCCTATATTTACAATCATAATATTGAAATACATCCGCTAAGCTACATTCAAATGTAAATGAAATGTTATGTATGGTTTTTTTGCAACCGTGGTATAACACATTCCATCCAACAGTGTTAGTAAAAAAATTAATTCTTCAGGTCTTTAAGTAAGTATTTACATTGATAAAACAATAAACTAACAAATACAAGTAGACTTTTCAGTTTTCATCCCATCCCATAAAAATATTGGAACTCGTTTTTCAAGTCTAGTTCACTTTGGTGACACTGATCGCTAGTACACGGTCACCTTTGGTAGAGGTATTGTTTTGTTTACAATTCTTTTTTGTGTTTCTACGCCATTGGCATTTTTTACAATTTGAAAGGGAACGGACCATGTCCTGTCTTTGTTACTGCCTAACGTCAACCTTTTTGTTAGATAGCACCATTAATCCATAGCCCAATGACAAACTGCTTGTTATTTCAGTCGTTAAAACCTCGTTTAACCAAATAAAATGATCCAACCACAAATAATAGCTCGTCCTTTATTTACATAACGAAACAGTAAAACACAAATCGTGGAATTAACAAAAAAATAATAGAAAAAAAATTTCGTCGACACTCTACTCCTAGTGTGAACCAGACAGAACTAACAGTAAAATTGGCTTCACCTGTTCTATAAGGAAGAGAAATTTACTTATCTATGGTTTTATCATAAACTAACCAAAACAAGTAGACTTCTCATCCCGTTTTACTTTATTTATGCTATCCAATCCAATAGTCAATGCTAATACTATTAACCATAGATAAAACAAGGGAGTATGTTTAATCTATGCTAATACCCTCAACTTCAATATACATGTTCTTCTCTTCATATGACATTTTTTATTTTCTTCGCAATCCACCAAACCTTGCCTTCTTCTTCTTGACCTCCAACATCAAAGGAAGACGTCTGCTCTCGTGAACGTGAAAATGAAAATGGCAACTTTATTAAAATTAGGAAATTCGCTCCGAATTAGAGGCCCCAAGGCAATTAAAAAGGTAAGTAATAGTTAATTTTGGTTTATCATAGTTTTCTTTCCAATGTATGCGTGCCCTGTGCAGTGCAGTTTGTTTTTCTTAGGCGTGGTGTTACGACTCGATTAGGTAGGTACTAAGGTACTCCTAGTCAAGTTTCTTTGAACGCTATGAATCCGAGGAATGTTAACTTTGTTTAGTCATTTATATTCAGCATTTGAAGCCACAATAAGATCTGATCTTTATCCAGAAGTGTTTTTTTAGGTAAGAAACTTAGATTTAAACAGTGAGTAAAAGCCAGTGTAGTTCTAGGCTCACAGGATCCTGCAGACTTTTCTGCTGAAGCCCAAACCCAGTCAGGTCTTTTGAGTTCTCTTTTATTTTCCATGTGAATAGCTATAGACCTCAATCTATTTGGCATAATTGGAAGTGATTTACCAATTAACCCTCCGGGCGTCCATCGTCGAAAAATCGACGCGCTACACACTTTGTGTAGTGTCACGCGCAGGGCCGTCCCTAGGGTTAGCGGCGCCCGGGACAAATGTGGTCGTGGTGCCCCCCCCCCCCCACAGTAATAGTCGCATTCGCATATTTTAATACTATGTTAATAGGGGATGGACAGGATTTTTTTCCTGTGCATAAACGACATTCTTGAGTATTGCAGTTACCAAAAAAGACAAACAAAATTAATTTTTACTATTTGTGGCACTGATCTATCAAAACCAAAAAAGGGTAAAAATTTACAGGTATAGATTTCAGACTTGTGACTCACGGTCGAAATGTCTCGCGGTCACAGCGTGATCGTCGGTATGACTCGCGGTCACGGCGGAATCGTCGGTATGACTCGCGGTCACGGTGGAATCGTCGATATGACTAGCGGTTACGGCGCGATTGTCTGTATGACTCAGCGGTCACGATGCGATCGTCGGTATGACTCCGCGATCACGGCACGATCGTCGAAATGACTTCGCCTCCTGCGTTCGTGGAATTACCGTGAACATCACTCGCGATAGCGGCGTCATCGTCACTCGCGAAGCGGCAAAATCGCCGATGATCGGATCAAATCTCGTCCCAAAATAATCCCGAAACAAATGTAATCATGTCCTGATAATCGGGATTTTTCCCGAAAATTTCCCGAAATTTCGGGTTAATACCAATAGCCGTTGCGCGGCGCACCCTCAGCCGCGGCGCCCGGGGCAGCTTGCCCCGGTTGCCCCCCCCTTCGGACGGCCCTGGTCACGCGTCGATTTTTCGACGCACGAACATCGTTTACGGCGAAGGCTCTATGACTGACTGAATCGGATTGAACTGGATCGAGTTAGGTATCGTTCTTTTCATTATACCTATTCTAAGCTTTCTCCAGAGGTCTGTCTCAGCGCTGTATGTTCTCCGAGCCGATCGTAATTGTAGCAGACTGTTTTTTGCCCATAACTTATTTATTTGCAAATCTAACTTACTTCCTTATATTATTATATATTTGTAATCCTCATAAAATTTAGAACAAAGTGGCTATTTTCAAATATTTATAGGCCTATAATTTATACAATTTCATTAAGCGCGAACTTATTTTTTTTTTTTGAAAATTTTCCAAAATATTTTTTTTTTACCTAAAAAATTTTTTTGAAACAAATGTTCCTTATGTTTTATGTATAATATTGAAGCCCATGATTTTCCAAACAAAATGGTATATAGAACAGTAGAATTAACATTGTTTTAAGCTTCTCAGATCGGTTTTAATAAAACCTTGCAAATGCGCCAAAAATAGGCGGACATTAAGGCCTAAACTATGGACACTCGGAGGGTTAAGCAAGCCCTGTTCTTGTGTGAACCCACCAATAAGTAAGTGCTTGCGCTTGCAAATATCAATAAACGGCGTTATTTTGGGCAAATCAGGCTGCGCAGGGTAATTCCTATATGGTTACGGGATAAAGGACACTTTCACGCACACAACAGTATCATGGTCATATAAGTTTACCAGGAACGAACGTGGGTCATACAAAATGTCCGAAAAATGACAAATCACGCACGCTAAAATCTATGGATGATCCATTTATCCCTTTTGCAGAAAGGTGCGGCCTCGCGTCTTAATACCTATATGGTCACGAAATAAAGGACACTTAACTTACACGCACACAACAACAGTAGGCCTATCATGGTCATTTATCAGGAACGAATGTAGGCCTAGGGAAAATTAAAGAAAGCTTACGTTAAAATCTACTAATGGCCGTTTCCCGGGAAAATGTGGTCGCACACCGTAATACTTAGCCTAAGTTAACCCTAAAGGACACTTTCACACACACGACAGTATCATGATCATATACCAGGAACGAACGTGCGTGAAAGTGTCCTTTATCTCGTGACCATAGGCCTATAGGTAAAACGCTGTGCGACTGCATTTTCCCGCAAATCGGCCATCAATATATCAATCTAGGCCTATCAGTTAAGAAAACAGATCAGTTACTATAAATGTCTCGTATTCGTGTTTGTGTCGTGTTTAAATGTTTAGTTATTATTTTCACCGTAAACTATATGACGCTCTTCGTACGAAGAAAGAAAACCGTCCTTGTACAGCCATGATGACACAGGCACCGAAACTAGTTGTGTTAACAACAATATTGGATTGCTTAATAGCAGGTATTTGCACCTTTTCTTATATTATTTGGCAATCCGGAGGCTAACATCTTCAATTTACTAATAAGGGCCTTAGTTCTGTCAGCAGGCCTAGGCCTATTTGATTATTGTCTTACAGTTTACTCAAAGGACATCAAAGGCTAAAATTGATCAAACTTGGAGCACTTCACACAATCGGGTCGCATCCACCCACCTCGGTGGCAGCAAAAGGACTGTAGTATAGCTAGTCAGTGGCTGCCACCGTGCTTTTTCAGCGACTCAACTTGTAGCAGGCCATTGTAGTATGTCCTGGCCCGTCACATTAGGTGGTTGCGACCAAGCTTTTGGGGATGGGCGTGCATCTTGTTTTGGCTGCCTTCCCTAGGTACACCCGTCTGTCCACCCCTGATGTCAACTTGTTTAAAGCTGTACACGAACCTGAGAAATACTTTCTTGGTTTGAGGCTGATTGTTTTGAGTAATGGCGTTATCTATTGCTCTGTTTGGTTTACATATGGATGAGTAAACTTAGGGGAATAGGTACATTCCTGGATAATAAGAATTTAAAAACGCTTGGAGTGATTTTTTTATTAAGACTTGACCCGACTGACCATGAGTCAGCTACCTAGCCCTCGGCCGGCTGCAAGGTCTAGGTTTAAAGGGATTTTACTTATGAGTTCCAAAACAAAACTAATAAGGGCCTTAGTTCTGTCATTAGGCCTATTTGATTATTGTCTTCCAGTTTACTCAAAGGACATCACAAAAGGTGATCTAAATAAAATTCAACGAACTTGCAAAACACGTTACTTAATTTACAGTTGCACAAGAAAAGAATTCATATAATTGTGTAAATGTAACATTATATTTTTAAGTTAATTTAAAGCCCAAATAAGTTAGCTAAGCCTAACTCCCTAAAGTAAAATAAGCTATCAAATGAGCCTGGACTGTTACCATTGTCTGAGGAGCTTGTAGAACTACACATTTAATCGTAAGCAGAGACAAGCAATTCTTTTGTAAATGCCGAATGTATGAATGTCCATTTAACTTTCTGCCAGCTTAACTGTAGTAGAAACCCCAAACAAATGTTAGACGGCTAGTTGTGATTTATTTGTTTGAGATTAACTTCTAGTCAATAGAACGAAGAAGAAAACAGGGTTTGAACATTTGTGAATAGCAGTGACAATTCATTATTTCTTATTAGCCCACTGTAAAAATCTCCTTTCTAGATTCCAGAGCGATTTACTAGCTCTGCACCTCAACTTAAAGAGATCCTGGTTAACTTTCCTCCCACAAAAACTACCACACTTGACAGTGGGTTGAGGGTAGCCACCGAAGACACCGGGGCTCCAACTGCCACCATTGGATTGTGGATCGATGCTGGATCTCGATTTGAAACTGAGGAGAACAATGGAGTCGCTCACTTTCTGGAACACATGGCCTTTAAGGTATGTAAATATAGGCTATCTCATGTATTAAAATGTGATCCTTAAAAGTTTGAGGTCTATTTGTAGCCTACAAATTTATGCAGTTGGTGCTACAATTTGAATAAGGTGGTAGGCAGGGCAACAAGGAAAAAATGTTAAGGGTGCTCTCTACCTCAGCTCAGAATCTCAACTCGGGCCTCAGTAGCAATGTTGTGCCATTGAACAGCGCCGCGAGAAGCGCTTGCAGACGTTTAAGTACTCTCAAATTACTCAGTTAACTTTTAAAATATTTTTCATCTGAAGAAGGTTCCTAAACTCCTTAGATTCATATTTATGACTCTCGCCTATCATTTTAGTTTTCTTCTAAAAATTCATTTGTGTAAAATGCTTTAGAAAAATGCTTGTTTAGAAGTATTTACCAGTCACTTCCCCCTTAAAATTCAACTATTAACAATTGTCATACGACATACAAGCAACAACAAAAACTATTTTAAACGATACAAGCCTACAAAAATTAGAAATGAATAAATTAACCTACTTTTAATCTTAATTTTTATATTTTCTATGATAAACTCCCTATTAAAAATTACCAAACAGCTTTACAAAGGATCTCACTATCATATTTTTTAACATAGATATCCCCATTATAACCCCTTCAGGATTATATAATGTTTTATGGTCAATTTGAAACATAAAAGTATCCCTCAGCATTGTTTTTATTCAGAAATTAATATTACTATCCCAAGCTAACTTATTTCCTAAGCAATTTTTATGTGTTTTTAGCAACTTGCTTATTATACTAGGCCTATTTAAATGGAAATTTCCTTTTTCAAACTTACCCTATGTGCAAAACATCTTGATAGGCATCACAACATTTTTAATTAGAATTAGGCTGTACCATAGCATAGGTAATGTAGGCCATGTGCAATTATAGGTACCTACAGTCATTTATTTTTATGTCAACTTTATAACCATATTATTTTAGGGCACATCAAAACGAACCCAGACCGATTTGGAGCTGGAGGTTGAAAACCTTGGAGCACATTTGAACGCTTACACTTCACGAGAGCAAACGGTCTTTTATGCCAAGTGCTTGAAAAGTGATGTCCCCAAAGCTTTAGACATCCTGGCTGACATTCTTCAAAACTCAAAGTTAGGTAAGGGTGTTCATATTTTAGAACTATTTGATTACCTACCAAATTCAAAACTGATTTATATTCAATCCAGCAGTAATGACAGATGGACGCCCAGTGCGTTGCTAATCATGATCGTTGGTGCGGCCGTCTTTAAATGCCTTTACCCACTTGCGTACCATTCCGTCACTCTTAATGTTCTCGCCATAAATCTGTCAATGAATTTCATTGGATTTCACACCTTTAGCACTTTAAAATCTAATTACAGCGCACACTTCACAGTCGGTGGCAGTCTCAATTGGCGGCACCATTATGAATGCTCGAAACCGAATGTAAACACGGCCTATTGTTGTCGAATTTCCTGTGCAGGCTTGCCAATATACAGGGTGACCATTAAGTCTTAGGACGACTTTATAACTTTTAAACGACAAGTGATATCACAACCACATTTGGTATACCGTTACTGGAAATTGTAAGCTACTTTGCTGTGTACATGGTGGTCGGATATCACCTTTGGGGGACGGCCCGTCGGGGGTCAGAAGAAAATCTTTAATGACAGCCTATGTTGAGTTGTACATCATTTTAAAGGTCTACTTCAACTAAAAACAATGCCGCAAACCGCACTTCAAAAGGTTGATCCTGCGCAAAATGGCAGATGTTCAAAGATTTTCAAAATTAGTCAATTTCTTTAAATTAAAACACTTTTTTAAATCTTTAAACAACTGTAATTTTTTAACGGATGGTCCTTTTTAAGTACGGTTTGCGGCATTGTATTCTACTAATAAATAACTTTCATTTGATGTGCATATCGACCTATGCTTCCATTCAAGATTTACTTCCGACTCCTTGTGGGCCGTCGCCCTTAAGAGTTATTTAGATCACTGAATGTGAAGTTATGGGGATCATTTTAAAGGGAATTTTAAGCAAAGAAGAATGCCGCAAACCGTACTTCAAAAGGACCATCCGTAATGATGGCTGTAATGATGAAAATGGCAGATGTTCAAAGATTTACAAAATTAGCCAATTTCTTTAAATTAAAACACTTTTTTAAATCTTTAAACAACTGTCATTTTTTAACGGATGGTCCTTTTGAAGTACGGTTTGCGGCATTCTTCTTTGCTTAAAATTCCCTTTAAAATGATCCCCATAACTTCACATTCAGTGATCTAAATAACTCTTCAGGGCGACGGCCCACAAGGAGTCGGAAGTAAATCTTGAATGGAAGCATAGGTCGATATGCACATCAAATTAAAGGTATTTATTAGTAGAATACAATGCCGCAAACCGTACTTAAAAAGGACCATCCGTTAAAAAATTACAGTTGCTTAAAGATTTAAAAAAGTGTTTTAACTTAAAGAAATTGGCTAATTTTGAAAATCTTTGAACATCTGCCATTTTGCGCAGGATCAACCTTTTGAAGTGCGGTTTGCGGCATTGTTTTCAGTTGAAGTAGACCTTTAAAATGATGTACAACTCAACATAGGTTGTCATTAAAGATTTTCTTCTGACCTCCGACGGACCGTCCCCCAAAGGTGATATCCGACCACCATGTACACAGAAAAGTAGCTTACAATTTCCAGTAACGTTATACCAAATGTGGTTGTGATATCGTTTGTCGTTTAAAAGTTATAAAGTCGTCCTAAGACTTAACAGTCACCCTGTATGCACATACACAGCACAAATGTCCAAAATGCCAATTGCAGCGCTGGATCGGAGAAATTTAAAAACGGTACATACTTAACAAACATGCCTCGTATTTAATTTGTAGTTACACAAAACATATTCATTGTTTAGCCTATTTTACTAAAGTAGATCCCGTCATATCCGATCGTGTCAGAACCAGGACTTCGTCAGAACGGCATAGAGGTCGGATATCAGGAGGATAAAAAATTTGTTTTCACGCAAGGAAGTTTATTTATTTCACAATTTTCTTGATTTTTTTCATAGCAGCAAAATCCTAAACATCTGCTGCAAAAAATCATCATCGCCCTCCTTGATCGTGGTACAACCAAGAACATCTCACTTGGCCATTTAATCATCACCATCGTAGACTCCCGCGATGGCTGCAAAATCTTAAATACCCACCGGCTTGTGTACTCATTCTCATCGTCTCCCGCAATCACAAAAAATCAGTATCATCGTCTTCCGTGATTGCGGGAAAATTTTAGACCTCTACTGCGGTCGTATGAACATCATTATCGGCCCGGGAGTCTCTGCAAAATATTGATTATCTCCTACAGTCGCTGAAATATCCTCGTAGTCTCTTGTGATCACTGAAACTTCATCGTCATCATTTACAATCGTGGTGAAAGCATTAATTTTTTGATTGCACAGATGAGTCCTACAATCCCAATTACATCGTGATTGTAAAATTTTGCCTTATACTTGATTTACTGACTTCAATCCCTCATGCTTGTAGGCGAAATTTGGCTTTACTTGAAAATGTAACTGCTTGTACACCTCTTTTGATATGTATGACTTTTGATGGGACCTAAGGTTGGATATGAGGAGTTTTACTGTATGTCAATGTATAATTATATGAAATATAATCTACATAAAGACTGCTTGAAATAAAGGGATCTAATCCAACCCTAAAACATATTAAGTCATTTGTGCAATGGGCTGTGAAATTATGCAGCAATGTTGTGGGTTCTCTTACCAATGCCGTTAATCAAAATTGATCAGTACCGCTACTGTTCATTCTTGTGAATGTTCAAAGAGGCTACCTACCTCTTTAAAAAAAAAAAAAAAAAAAAAAAAAAAAAAAAAAAAAAAAAAAACTTAAAAGGTAGAAGGTAACAACTTTATTTCCTCAGTTAATCAGAAGTCTCAAACTAAGACGTCTATTTTTAGGAGAAGCTGAAATTGAAAGGGAACGAGGAGTGATTTTGAGAGAAATGCAAGAAGTAGAAACAAACCTTCAGGAAGTTGTGTTTGATTACTTACATGCCACTGCCTTCCAAGGAACATCTCTAGGAAGGACGATCCTAGGACCCACCAAAAACATCAAGTTAGTAATCAAACTAATGTATAGGCTACAGGCAGTTTGTTATCATGTCTTACTGTCAATAATGTTTTACAGTAAGCATAGTCATACCAGTCTAGATACATCTAATGTTTTGCAAATAACCCATCTGCAATGCATATGGAATAAATTCAAAAGAAACATTATGGTCATCACAATCAATAAAGGTTTATGTTAGCGGTACCTGTTTTGTCTATGGAAGAATCTTTTGTTGGAAAAATCAACTAGAGCACTACAGTTGTACATATTTTTTTGTATTGTGTCGTAGAAAATAGAGCACATCTTCAGGTCAGAAATAAGCTATTTACAATTTCCAGAAAGTAACAGATGTTTTGCATTGGCCTTGCTTTGGGCTGGGCTATTGCCGCCTTCTAGCATCAGAGAGTTTTTGCCTTCAGCTATGGTAGCGTCCACATCTTATGTCTGCTGTCCCACTCTGCCCTCATTCACCACTCCTTTGCTGTAAACAAATCTAGAGATAAATTTCAATTGGCTTGTGATATTTTGTCATCACAAAGCACACTTTACCTCTGGCTGTATAGAGAGATACACATCCGGCTGTATAGTTAATAGATAACATGCATGCTATTGTTCTAGATGTATACTCAATGATGTGAACGCTCTGATGCTAAGGTGACGGCAATATCCCCGGCTCATGTGACACATCCGTTTTTGGACGGCCTCATATTCATTTTATGACTCATTACTAATGCCCATCTCTTTGATTAGTAAATTATTGTCAATTTGTGCTTGGGGTTGTTGTGCAGGTCTATCCAGCGCAAGGACCTGAAGGAGTACATTGACTCCTTCTACAAGCCTGGTCGCATGGTGTTGGCTGGTGCTGGGGGAGTGAACCATGAGGAGCTGTGCAAGCTGGCCAGTCAGTACTTCACTGGCAAACCTTCCTACGAGATTGACATACCTGACGTCAAGGCTTGCCGCTTTACTGGTACGTCCTTCATCACTCTGATTTCAGATACAGTATGGTTAACCGATTAACCTTGACATCAATACCACTGGATCTACTGGATTATTTGGTTAAAGCGAGCTGGTCTAGTGGTAGAGTGCTAAACTCCGGTATCTGAGGTCCTGGGTTCAAATCCCGCCAATCACCTATGGATTTTATCAAAAGTAATGCTGTTACCAAGTAGTAATGTTAATGTGTAAAGTGGTTATTATATGAATCTTATGTTGGTCTTGGTGCAGGACCACTCTAGGCTATGGCAGAAACTTAATTGAGGTCAAATTGTACAAGTAACGAGGTTCGCATGGCCAAAATACGAATAAAATTGCAGTGGAGAGGTCCGGAAAGGACTTGGTTAAGGGGAGTTTTACTGTTTGATATGTACAAGGGATTGTAGTTTTTTCCAATGTTGTTTGTGTAAGATGTACTAACTTACAGTACGATTTGCATACTTTTCTGCTTTTGTTTTTTTCTAGAATCTTATCTAGTGAAACAAAAAGAATAATGTTTAATGCATACGTACTATTTTTTTTTTTACCTGAAGAGAATTTTTTTGCAAGTTCCAAAAGTTAATTTTTTTCTTTTTTTTCTTAAATATTTGTTCTTGAGTCAAGGTAATTTTATGTATTGTTTAAATTTAGCTAAGGATAACAAAAACACTATTTTCTTCAATGACAAAAACTTTCCTTATTATCATTTGTTGTTTTTTTTAGTACATTGTAAACCCACCAACTCACCAGGATAACCAAACCCATCATAAAAAGTACATATCAGTTGAAAAATTAGCCATGCAACAGAAATTGTTTGTCACTGTGGGAATAGAAGGAATTTAATGGAGATGACAACAACTTGGATCTCATACTAAGATATAGCCTAGTTAAAGTTCATAAAATAACTATAAAAAACCTTTGTTGTTGTAGTTTAGCCTACTTGGAATAAAGATAGCCTTTAAATTTAAATCAATGATTGAATTAAAAAAGGGTTGAATTTAAATAGCTTTGTCTTCTTTATTTTTTTCAATTAATCAGAGTTATACCGGTACTTTACTAAATTTCACTTTTTTGACACTCATAACACTGTATGATAATACTGTGACTGTACTTCTCTGTCGCAGGATCGGAGATGAGGCTGAGGGACGACAGCATCCCGTTGGCGCATATTGCCATCGCAGTAGAGGGTGCCGGCTGGGAGAGTGCTGACAACATTCCCCTCATGGTCGCAAACACTCTGATCGGCGCGTGGGACCGTTCCCAGGGCGGCGGCACCAACAACGCCTCTCGTCTGGCGAAGGCAGCTGCCGAGGACAACCTTGCTCACTCCTTCCAAAGCTTCAACACATGCTACAAGGACACTGGCCTGTGGGGTGTCTACTTCGTCTCTGAGAGGCTGGACATTGAGGTAACTTGACACTGTAGCAATCTTGTGTCATACAGTGACTCAGAACACCATACAGTGCAATGTTTCTCAACCTGTGGTATGTAGAGGCCACAGGGAGGGGATTATGTAAATGACATTCTCAGTATAAGTATGATTATGGATTTGTTTGGGCTGGTTTTTCAGCAGTAATTCACAGCTCTTTGGCAACTGTGTAACTTCTATAAGGCATTAGAACAAGGTCAAGATTATTTTGCTAAACTAACGTAAGAAAGTGACTGACTTGAAATAATTGTTGGTATTCTAGTAATATGAGAGAAATTAGGACCCTTGAGCACTGTGCTTAGTTGCTTACTTCACTTGTGTATTTATCATGCATAAAATGTAACCATCTTGGGTTTATAGGTTGGATAGATTATCAATACAATAGACAAACACCATCCATAACCACCCCTAGATGTGGCTAAGTAGCACCAAAAACGTTTGTCTTTTGATGTGGTATGTAAAAGGAAGGTCAGTAAACACTATTGTTGAGGAATACTCTTTGTTTGGTGGTAAATAGATTTCTTATGTTAGTAACTGATTGGAGACATAGAAAACACTACAAACTTCTTTAGAGCAGCCAAGAATGGCCAGTTTAAATGTGAATTGTGTTGTTGCAGGACATGTTGTATAACATTCAGTCAGAGTGGATGAGAATCTGCAACGCCCTGACTGAGGGAGAGGTGGAGAGAGCTAAGAACCTACTGAAGACCAACATGTTGCTGCAGCTGGACGGCACCACCCCAGTGTGCGAGGACATCGGTCGCCAGATGTTGTGCTACGGACGTCGCATCCCTGTCCACGAACTGGAGGCTAGGATCAACGTAAGATATTTTTGTGATTATTCTTATTTTTGCTGCTCATCCACTTCACTTCAAGATTTACAATTTGATTTTTTAATATGCATAGGCCTAAACAACATAAATTAGGTTCATTTCAATAGTTTACTGGATCACTGCAACCTTTGGCACTCTCAACTTCTTAGACCTCTACAGTATTGTGATTGAATCATTATCCACAATCTTACCTTACCTAACACATTACATCAGACTTACCTAACAGGGTTATATACCCAGTAAAATTGTATATGTTAAAATATCTTATAAATGGAATTAAGAATTAAGATAATTTCTAATTTTATTTTGTTACCCTATCCAACTAACGTTTTTAGTTCGCACAAACTTAATTTTCTTATACTGCTGAATCTTGCTCTTATGATATGACCAAGATTCAACAGTTTTTTTTTACCTTCCAAACCACTCAGGTTCCTCTAAGTAAAATCAAATAATGTATTGGAAATTTCAACACCCTTTTTGCTTAACTACGATACACTTTGTACGCACAACTTGATGCACTTCCGTGTGTGAAGGTGGCCTACCTCTTAATTTGATCCCCAGTATATCAACAAGATTTGAAGTGTTTGTGATTCATCCATATATGAAGCTACTTCTGTAGACATTATCAAAGAAATTAATTAATCGCCCTAAATACTATTGACAAGTGAAATGTGTGTTGATTGATTGGCAGGCTGTGACAGCCAAGGATGTACAGGCAGTAGCTACAAAGTACATCTACGACCGTTGTCCTGCTGTGGCTGCTGTCGGACCCGTAGAGCAACTGCCCGACTACACCAGGATCCGTGCATCCATGTACTGGCTTCGACTCTAAACTCACCCTCCACACTCCTCATTGTAAATTGTTTATACTCACAGCATAGTGGACATAGCTGTTAACTGTTTAGGTATTATTTTATCCATCGCCTCTGTGTACCAAACTGTGAAGACGTTCTCCTTTTTTTACCATCTGAATCAGTTTTCTGATTTTTGAAATTGTAAATTTAAATATACAGCTAATTATAATTTTAAAAGAGCGTTAAATAAATATACTAAATTATTTATGGTTTTCTTTTTTGTAACCTATGTTTGTAGATAATCGTGTTCTTTAGCAGTTTTCTTTGACACTTCTGTAAAACACTTAAGCAGAATAATGCAAGATGAGAGTCCTGACTACGATGTTCAAAACTAGAAATTTAGAATCTCAAAACCGAGCCCAAACCTTAAAAAATTGATTCCCAAATCTTGAATCTCAAAACCTATCTTTTCTGTTATAATAAAAAATTAAAAAAATTCTATATGCATTCAAAACTATAATAAAGAGGACTCCTAAACTGACAAAATGTAACATTAATATGAGATCATATAAATACTAGGGATGTGTCAAAACTGAATCTCAAATCTAAAAACCATCAAAACTTTGGAAAAGTTTCAGTTTTGAGATTCAAAAGTTTCAAAATTGAAGATTTTGGCAGATTTATTTTTGAAACTGCTGATATTTTTATTTTTTTTTCATCATTATTATTGTTTTTAACACTGTTTTCGCACAAGCTGTTAGCTATAGAGCAAACTGATGACCATTCAGTAACAACTGAACTTCAAAAGCCATCTTAAATACTAAATATAACAGTCAAAAAGTTCCCGGAATGAATTTCTGTAGACATTTGGGGTGATCGCCAGTGGGAAATTCACCTTGCAGTAGTTAGTACGACTCCTGGGGAGGGCATATAGCATATAGGAGAGGGTAGAAAGGGTTTAGCTGACAAGCCCCGTAGTGCAACATTGGTAAGCGCTTTTCGTGTACTTGCAAGTCTACATCGTCGGTTACTGTAGGTTGTGTACCTGCATTGAAAAATGGCATTCCATGAACTTTGTGTGAACATTAAGTTCTGTGTTTTACTTTTAAAAACCCCCTTGTGAGACTCTTAAATTGTTAATTCAAGCTTATGGAGAAGAGGTGATGAAGAAAAGTCAAGTTAATGAGTGGCACAAATGGTTTTGTGAAGTCTGTGAAAGCATTGACGAATATCCTCGTAGTGGACATCCTTCAACAGCAGTCAATGACGTAAATATTGAGCGAGTACGACAAGTTGTGTGTGAAAATCGGAAAGTTGCATTTGAGGTACATTTATCTCTTGGAAGTGTTCACACCATACTTCATGATCATTTGAACATGCATCGAATTTGTTCGTTAATGGTTCCAAAAATGGTCTCCTAAGCCCAAAGAAACACAAATGTTATTAGCAGATGAACTCATTGATATGGCCAGTGATGATTTGATATGATATGATAAGTTTTGGTTTCGGTTTTGAGATTTGAAATTTCTGGTTTTGACCATCACGAATAAATACTGATAAAGGTTGAATCAATCCTTAATTTTAAATCTCAAAACCTAAACGGAAACCTTTCCAAAGTTTTGATGGTTTTTGAGATTAACTAAGATCAGCTGTTTCTTGTGCAATGAAGAGGATATCTGGGTCATGTTCTGAACCTTCACAAAGCTATTGAGTTTGCTCAGGTCCAAACTGGTGACCTGATTGGGGGGCGAGCACTATCATTTGACTACTCAGCTATTTATCTCTAAAATTAGTGTAGCTGACTTTGGAAGCATAGAATGAAGTTAATGTCTTGATGTTAGTTCTTGTTGTTAAATATGATATGTTGTTTAGTGTATTGGTTGTAAAGTTAATTTTCCCATAACTGTACACAGCACTTAATGTCTAGAAATTAAGGTGCCTCCTACTGGTTCCCTTTCTCATTTATCCTATACAAAATAGCTGAGTACAGTAGTTATAGTGCTCGCCTAGTAATCAAAAGGTCGCCTGGGGGTTTGATCCTGAAAAAAGTTAGTAGATTAATTGATTGTTCAAAAATGGACCGAGCTGTCCTTGGTCATTGTGGGCCATAATAGTCCTGTCTAATAAAACAGCTGGTCTTAGTCAGTAACAAAGCATTATAGTCTTAAGAGCCAGTGAAAAGCTACCTGTATTATTTGACCAGATTTGGGTTTTGTACAATGATATCCCTATACCTACCATATATGAGGTGGGGAGTCATTAATCCCAAAGTGGTGGACGGAGGGCGAGGACACTGGACAGGCAAGACAGGTATAGATTTTTGGCGAATTTTAAATGCATTTGACCACATCTGCCGTTTTCATATTTGAAAATATATTATTATTATTATTATCTAAAAACAAGAATGGCAGACCATTATCATGCGTTTATCATAGTATTTTTTAATAGCAGCATAGGTGGAGTTTGGTATCAAATTAAAGGTATCCGTTAGTAAAACTCAATGCCACAAACCCAAACCCAAACGGACAATTAATTGAGTAAAAAATGACAGCTGTCCAAAGATCGCTTGAATACAGTGGGGCGCTTGCTAGAAGTCAGAAGAAAATCATAAACGTAAATATAGGTCGATATGCACATCACATTAAAGGTCTTTACAAATAAAATACAATGCCGAAAATTTGAGCTAAAAATAACAGCTGGGTAAAAAATGGCAATCGTTCAAGGATCAAAAATGGCTGAGTCAAGAAATATTTTAACAGCTCTGCCTCACAGGACGATTTACAAAGTGCTTATCCTGACATGCTTCCAAAGTTTTAATTAATTAATTTACGAGAGCTCGCCCCGTGGTCGAAAATTCAACCAAAAGTATGTATTGTGCAAACGTCTCTATTTTCACCCCATGCTGTAAATAAAACATGTGATTGCAATTTCTTCCATTTGTTTAGATTTTCTGTTTGTTATTTTGTCACCAGCATGGCAACCCATAATACCCATGTTAATTTTTTTTTTAATTTCAAATTCATTTGTCGTTCTTATTTTTTAGCCTATTTTAATTTATAAAGGGATTCTGCACATTTACAGGTAAATAGCTTTCATTTGGTACCAACTAACAAGTCGGTCCAGTAGTATGACCAGGCTAGCTGTTGTAAGTTTTACAAAAGTTTTTTTTTGTGTATAAGATTTAATGAAACAGCTAGTCATTGCAATTAACTGGTGTTTGTTTATTTACTCAAAAAATATGTTTGTGATGTTTTATTTAGATTGAGGAAATAGGTGTTATTTAGTAAGGGTTATGTAGAGTATTAATTATTGCTCACAGTTTTATTTGTTCAAGTGGCTTGACTAAAATTGAAGAATTATGGTAAAACCCATGAAGCATCACAAGTAATTGATGTTATTGCTACACTAAGGTATGTAGTCATATATTTTTGGATCTATTGACAGAAAAAGTAGGGTTTAGAAAGTAAGCAGGTTTACGTTTTAAAATCAGTTTATCTTGAAAATTAAATCATTTTATAGAGTTGCTGTATTTTTAAACACACTTCAGCACCACTTACCTTTACCTTTACCTTACCTTCGATGTCTTCTCCACAATCTGGTGATTGGGGAATCGTCAATATTTGATTGAAGTCGTAGCTTTGATGGGCCCTATTTGAGGTGTTGGTATGTATGTTCTTCAGTGTATTAATGTATTCTGATAGTGAGTAGTAGGGTCTGACTGTTAAGTACTCTTTTTAGTGACTTTATGAAGATGTTTGGCTTGTAAATTTGTTTTATGTGTTGTGGCAGGAGATTGTAGAGGGATGATCCCGAGTGAGATGGTGATTTACTGGTTTTGTTTAGTCTATGGCGTGGAAGGTGAATGTTGTTTTTGTTGCGGGTGTTGTGGTCGTGTTGGCTGGATCGAAGGATTGGATTTGAATTTACTGTGAGGATTATGGTCTCCAGGATAGCTCATAGTCATTTGCTTATACAATGTACTGGATGCATAGGATGTTTAAACGGTTTAAACCCCTCATCTAAAGAAAGAAAATTAATTGCCTTCACCATAAGTGAAAATATTGGATTAATGAATACCTAAACATTTGGGCTTAACAGTATTGTGTACATTTAATAAAAACGTTAAAACGTTTCACTTAATACTCGGCTGTGGGGGAAAAAAGAACATATTGAGGGGCTTATGTGGTTTCCTAAGTAGGCTTTCAAGTTTTAAGGGGCTCTTCGCTCAGCTCCATCCTTCAGCGTAGCGTAGAGTGGCCTCCTCGCTAGCCTGCCTTGAATCGTAGATTTGAAAGTGATGTTTAAAAACTTTTTATGTTTATGGCAAAGGACATACTGGGGATAGCTCTTGTGAGTGCCGAAAATACCCATCACCTAATTGTTTGTCTTTCTATCAATCAATCAATCCAGTTTGATCTCCATCGGTTCTAGCTCAAACTAGACAAAAACGACAAATTAACCCAGCGCATCCTTCATCAATTGCCCATTCGTGATTCACAGTAGCAAAACCGGTAGCCAATAGCAACGAACGATCATGATTCGCTTATCATACCAATATCTACCGTGGACAACAGCGCTCCAGGCCTGAGCGGCAGTTCTAGTAACTATACGGTCGCAGCGCGTCCGCCGCAGCGCTTCAGTCAACGTAGTGTCGCGGTCGTGTTGTCACCGTGGTCAAGTTCCGACCTGTGTTGCACTTTTTGTTTACATTTTTGTGTCTAGTGTAAAGTGAAATTCGCGAGTGATGTGTTGACCGATCGATCCAAGATGCGCTGGTTTTTGGTTTTTCTCCCGCTTCTTTTCTTCGACCTAGGATATGCCAATATTGAGGAAAGAGGTCTGTTTTATGGTTATGTTTGGAGTTAGTTTAGCTTGGATAAAGTATTTAAATTTTGGTCGTATTTGGGATTTAGTTTTACAGAAATCATATATGTAATTTTTATACTGATACCTGCGATATTTCAACTCAATTTCACATGTCTACAGTAAACCCAGTCGCGTTGTACATTCATGATAAAAGTTTAAACAATGAGTTTTCTTCATTCTATTTGTAGTAAAGTTGTGTTAGGTAGCAAAATAAATAATTTTAATAATATAGGTACTCAATAGTTGTAACATAACAAAAACTATACACTTCTAAAAGCATCCCTGCGTCCAACAAACTTTTGCACTAGACCTACTACTCGTCACCCAACAATGAAAGTTACATTGTTGTCGGAGCGTAGCAAACTATTTTCGCATTTGCAGAACATTTCACGTTCTATC